GTGATAGTTCAAAGCAGTATTTTTCAACGTTCTTCTTATGAGTATGACCTATGAATATTCCTTTATCAGTGGTAAAAAAATCACCCCATTTGGTCAAAAGATGGCGAAGAAATCCAAAGTTTTTGGAGTGTAGTGTGACTTTTGGGACACCCTGTAGAATGATGTAGAACTAAATGCTCTTTCTAATGAAGACAGATTGAGTTTATAATATTTCCAAAAAAGTTATACGTACTGGTCCAATATTGGATCAATACGAATATATTGAAATCATATAAAAGACCTTATAAGGCTTCTATGATTGTTTTTTTACAACGTTTTTGCCTGAAATTGACCTTCAGCATTCAAAATTATGCTTGAATGTAGTGATAAAAAACACGACTGGCTTTTCTGCACAGGATTATGAATGAACTGTCAATGAACAGTTAGTGACCCATTTTCTGATGCTTATATGCCCCCGTTTTTTATTTTCAATTATATCATAAATATTTTCTACTTGTAGAAATAAAACAATCATCTAGATTTTTCCTCACACCATCAAATAGTATAGATGAGAGAAGGAAAATTGATAAGCATCTTCTTAAATAAGAAAGAAGAGTCGATTTATTTTCTCTAACTCTAAATATTTAATCGACACAGAAGAGACGTATATGATAGTTTTGGGAGAGTTTGTTGTTTATTCTTTCATATATTCATAGAAGAGTAAATCAATAGCAGAGTGCCCCACACTCGTATTGTTAAAATACTGATACAAACTGTTTATGAAGCTCATTTGTCTTTGCCAATAAAATCGCATTAGCATATTTGCCTCGAAAAAGCTTCATTATGACCGTCCCATTCTCTCTCAAAATCAATTTTCGATACAGAACTAAAGTTACGAATTTTTGCGCTGTCTTCAAACCTGAGTTTGAAAGAGTTTTATGAAGATCAAGATTCAAAATGAACCCTCGACCTGTACAAATTATTTTTCACTACACCTCAGAGTATAGAACCGAAATTAATCTGTTTGAAGGAGAGTTGTTTACCTATTCAGATAAAAACAAGGATCTTTTTGTATTGTTACTTTCTTTAGTTTTAAGAATGTCAAAATCTCTAAAACTTTGAAATACCAATAGAGGTTTTCTGCAGAGCTAGAGATTAATTTAATAAATTAAAAAAAGCTGCTGTTACCTAGAACAAACCAGAATGAAACAGAATTTGCGCAAAGATTGAGCGTCGGTACAAAAAGCCATTTCTGAGAAGAATGCAAAACCTTTTTTTTGCGTATTGTCTATCTAACATTAGGTATCAGCATAACATATGACGATACTACTTAGGGCATATCAAAAATATCGAGATTGATCTTATATAAAAGTACAAGATTCTTGAGACAAAAATCTGTTGATATATATATGTAGCACTAAAAGTGCTCTACATGTTTGTATTATAGTAACATTAATCAAGTGATATTATCATATGAAAAATTTGAATGAAAACAATGTACCATTATTTTTAGTCGGATAGCGCAAATTTTCGTTACTGCATTAGTGTGCATACTGCACTTAACCGTCAACCAAAATCAAACCATGTTGAATTATATTCTGCCTTAGGCGATCAAGCGTTATCATATAACACAATTACCAACAAATGAAAAAGGTTTCGGAAAGGGCAAGAAGAAACTGAAGATTAAACCATGACTTGGTCGACCTGTAACCGAGACAATCTCTGAAAACGTTGAAGAAGTTTGCTGGCTCATTGATGATGATTGATGAAATACAAATAGAGACTGGTATAAGTCATGCTACCCTTGAACGGATTATTTCTGATCACCTGAAGGTAATAAAGAATGACCATTCTCGGAATACCCAGATTGCTGACAGATACTCACTGTGTCGAACAGGTTCGGCTTTGTCAAGAAGATTTTGAAAACCTCCAGCAAAGAACATAGTGACTTTTTGATGTAGTGACAGATAACGAGCCATGGATTTATCATTGATAAAATGACTGAAAGTCATCGAATTCTGCATGGACACCAACAAGAGGAACTCTGCCTATCATGATGCGGTGTAGACACTTTCATTCAAAAACTCTGTTTTATATTTTTGTCAAAACTACTGATCAAGTGTCAATTCGTCAGATTGATCAAGGAGAAATCCTCGGTCATCACTGTTATGTCGATATTTACTTGGAGCTTATAGCCGAGAAATTTTACAAGAAAAAATCAACATCTGATGCACATACCATAAAACTTCATCACGACAACGTCAAACCACATATGCATAAGTATGCTTCGAGCTATCTCTAATCGAAAGGTATCAAACTCATTCAGCAATCATTGGATTCTCTAGACCTGATACTATGTAAATTTTGTTTATTCGATCTGATCACATAGAATTTAACTGATTACTGCAGCACACAATCCCTAAACCGTGCTATAACACTAAGAGCATCAACTCGATTAACAAAGATGATTATAAGAAAAAAACTATCCACAAGTGACTTGAACGAATTCAATTGTGTGTAAATAATCACGACAACTACTGTCAACATTCAAAGAAATAAAATCTGTAATCACTTGTTTCTGTATTTCTTTTTCTCTTGAAAATCTCGTTACTTTTGGTATGCCCTAAGTATATATTATTCGCTAAAATTATTCAGCGCATCGAGCTATGCTTCTAACGATACACACAGTAAATAGTTAACAGAGTTGTTTCCAGTTTTACAAAGATTCGCCTAGAAATATTTCAAATCGAAATCAAAATTGAGATTGTCTGATAACAAGTCATCCAATAAAATCCATTGTACAATAACTATATTTAAAGTGCATTATTAACTTTGAAATTAGCTATTAAGAGCATGAGTCATTGGTTCTTCACATCTTACCAATAAGGAAAAATCAAAACAAATGAGAAGAAAGAAAAAACAGAAAAAGAAAACAGCAAGTAATGAGAAAAAAACAAAATCATTATCATCGTTTTTGTTGTGATAAGCATAAGAAAAATAGAAAAAAAAACAGAGTAGTTATGAGCCATCATCTATATGACGGTGAAGATCATACAGCAAAGTATCGTCTTCACAGGCCTGGCTATCCAAAAGAATTATTCGAACATATTATTGATTATTATTTTAATAGTAAAATTACAAATGAAAAAATTCCACTTGCACTCGATATTGGATGTGGAAGTGATCAAGCAACAGCAGATCTTAGTCCGTAAACATCTTAATTAAATACGTTTTTTAATAGATAAAAATTAAAAAACAAAATATTCTTTTTTGTCTTAAAAGATTTTGTGAACGAATTATTGGTATTGATGTTAGTGCGGATCAACTTGCTCATGCAATATCAAAAGATAATATCGAATACATTTGGTAGATTAGATAATTCAATAGCTGATGCTATTTTTCATGAATTTCATCATGTTTTGTTATTTCCACATTGGAATATAAAACAACGATTAGTTGATGATTATTATGAATCACTTGTACCACTTTTTCCATATAAATCAACATTACGTCAATATACAATTGAATGTCAAATTGAAATGACACTTTGACATTTTCTTGGTTTGATTGAAACAGCATCAGCTCGTCAAACATATAGAAAACAGAATGGTGAACAAGCATATCAAGATATGTTAAATACATTACGTCATAAATTAACTCAATGCTATATTAAAACAGAAGTTAAAAATGATAATGATGAAACTATAGATTTTAATTCTATTAAAATAACTCTTCGAGATCAATTCGTCTTTATTTAATGAAAAAAAAATGAAATTTAATTTTAATAAATAGGAATTCATATTGTATTATCACATGTTTATATACAATGAACGTCTCAGAAGTTTTGAAATGATTTTAAAATTCATCGTTCTCATATTCAACAAAAGCAAACTCTTTGAAAGTTGGACAGATTATTGTACTAACAAAGGAAGTATCTCAAGTGGTGAATTGCTTTTTTTCTCGAAAAATACATGACACTGTATGCAGTTCACTGAGCTGATTTCGAATATCATGATCTTAGCGAACCTTATGCCTTTTAGATTCTATATCATAACTATCAATCCTCTTCTAATAGGGATGTTTCTTATCAAAGTCGATATCTAATCCGTTCACTATGTGTCACTGGACGAAATATCACTAAAAATACTTTTTTTTTCAAACTTCTCGTGCTCGTTCGAATACACATCGATTATGTCGAACAATGTCTGCGAGATGATCATATGCATCTTCTCCTTATTTCTGTACTTGAATTAAACTATGAACATTTAAACATTGTGACAAATAACTTTATAAATTACACAACACGAGTCAACTGTGAACAAGACAATTGTCTATCCGAAGAATAGGTTTTTTTTGTATTTTTCATCAGTATGATTCCAATATTGCTTTGTCATCAGCGCATTTACACTAGATATTGAGAATTGACGGCGATGGACTAACTGATCTTCACACCATTCAAACGTTTAATTTTCTTGTTACTACTCATTCCTATTGGATATCTAGGGGTAAATTACTTGAAATAAAAGTAATAATTAGAGACCGAAAAGCTGAAAAAGTTCATGTTGTAGTGTAGAGAATGATTTTTAAGCAACA